GTAAATGTACAGTGTACATGAGAAACAGATACTATCTGTTGTATTATATTAATTTTTCACAAGCATTTTATGTGACTGCTCAAAAGTAAACAAAAAGCACTGAATATAACCTGACAGTTAAAACAAGACTTTTAGATTTGCTAAACAATCTGGTCTTTGCAGCAGATTTAGGCTTATGGGTATGGCTGTAGTGGCACGGTACTGTGTATACCTACAGAGAAGACACAGAGAAGAGACATTTGTGGATTGATTTTTGTGTCAGGTGACCCTGAATCTTTTATTAGTTATGCTGCAATAATCCTAGCCTGCTAGGGGCTTCCCAGGATACCCATGTTTCTTCTTCACTCACTTTTTTATTTGCTCTTTTCCACTAGTGCCTACTCAACTTGACTCAATTCTAAGGGGTGAATTTCAGCTTCTTCCCTCAGGACAGAGGTTTCTATTTCCGAGATGCAGGACAAAGCGTTATAAAAATAGCTTTGTCCCCGTTGCTGTCACTGAATTAAATAAGAACTGTTTTTGATTCGAAATATTAAAATTACTATATATACTATATATATATAAAATTACTATATATGTGCCACAGTGAGGTTTATATCTTTACTAGGTATGTGTGTTTTTAAAGGGATGCCAAATGCTGTCATTTTTTCTGTAAAGTAAATTTACCTTGCCTATGGGTATAAATAAAGTTACCTTGACCTTGACCTCAATGTGACTCAACTCTGTGAGTGTAGGGTCATTATAGCAATGTGACCGAAAGTCCCGAGGCTTCATTTGTATGTGACTTGAACACTACAACAATGGTGGACACCGAAACGATGGTGGACACTGCTGCATGGTGTTTTGCTTTTTGTCAGACTCTGGGATCATGGTGTCAATTTTTATGTAGCCATTTCCTTTGTTGCTGGGTTTGACAGTGACAGTGATTGACAGTGGTTTTTATTTTCGTGAAGCAGTCTGTCTCATGACTCATCAAGTGATGCCACTGATTAGCCAATCAGTGGCATGCAATCTGTTGTTGTCCAATTTTCAGATCACTTAGATCACTGGAACCCTGGCTGAGTAGGCACTAAAAAAGTAGCTGGTATCAGGTACTACCACCTAATTGAAAACCCCCCAAAAAAAGAGACCCGCGTAGGTACTAGTGGAAAAGCACTATGTGTGTTTATGCCACACTGCATTTAATCATATTGATTAAACTGCTTGAGCTTCCATTCAGTCATTGCTTTGAATACACAATGACTGTCCACATGAGAAGTCGACAAGTCCACATTAACATGCTGTGGGAGCAATTTGCGCACTAATTTGCTTTCAAACTGTATTTTGAAAATTTGGCATGAAAATTCACTTTCAAATTTTCAGTTTTTAGCTTTGGAATTGCAAGAATATTTTGATAAAAATTAATAAGACAAGTTTATTTCTCCCATATTTCGTAACTGATTTTGTCAGGGTCCTGGTTGTTTGACGCAGGGTTTTTAGTTTTGTTCTGGAGTTGTGTTACTCTACCAACTGGATTCATTGTGCAGTGATGAAGGATAACATAAGACTCAATTACAACATGTAGAAACCAAAATTCAATTTAAAAATAAATATATGAACAAATACAAATAGTGTCTCAGTCAAGTGTTGGGCCATGAGAGATTCAGTCCTCCTTGATTCTCTTAGTGTCCATCCCAGTGAGTTAAACACCATTCTTCCAATGATGTTGGAGATAACAGTCTAACCAGTCCCTTTTAGATTTTTGTTTTAGCTGTGAGATCTAGATCTAGATTCTGAAGGCTACTATATATGATTTGCATTATGTCTGCACTTATCAAACCACTGGGTTGCCTCATGTCCTCTCCACATCAATGCAGACCAGTGCCTGTTCTTTTTACATCACTGAACTCTCAAATGTGCATTCATCTTTGCAAAGAAGGCTTTGTGCACTGGAACTCTGTTAAAATCTCCTTTCAGTTGACATTCTGAATCAACGAAGAACGAGTTGTTTTTCTCTTTTTCTTTCATTGACTGATTCACACATTTATCAAAAGCCATTTAGACTGTGGTAGTTCAATAAAAAGTCACTAAGAAACCTGCAGAAAAGGATCACATTACCCTGCTCCTTAAGACATCGCCCAGTCTACTCACATCTCTCAGAATGAATTTTAGCACTCTTTGATTTGCATATAGAGTTTTAAACAACTTAAAACAAAACAAAACAAAACAGTGAGACTCTTATTTTATGCTGCTGTCAGATCACTGAAGTCCTTCAGAGCTTTTGTTTTCTGTTTCTGTTCCATTGGAGTTCCAGGAAGGTGGGTTTCATTTTTAAGCCCTTAAACATGGGGAAAATAGGCCTTAAAGCAAAACAAAACAACACCCAAATTAAATAAAAGGCAACATTCATTTAGGTAATGACTGCAGGTAAATGACTGTAATCGGTCTGCGCTGCTGGTTAACTTGATTCCAAAAGAGGCCACACCTCTTATGGCTGTCATGGCTGACAAAAACTTTGGCCCAGTCATTTTTTCATTTAGTAATGCGGGTCTATATGACAGATAATATAATTTACTGTAAAAAGGTCTGCCTTGACTCTCTATATAACTCAGGAGTTGTGATGCATTCTGCGTGGGTGCCAACATGTTGTGATTTATGACAGTCAAAATAAAGATGGACATGCAAAAGCTAATCAGGAGGAAAACAACAAAAAATTAACAAAATTGTTGTTCAACATAAATGCTTCATATTTAAACATTTCAAGATCTGCAGTCACAGGGGGAAAGAAAGCAAAGTACTTCCATAGGAAGTGATCGGATGAAGAAGATGGAGATGGATAAGACAAGTCAAGAAACAAGGCAACAACATTACCAGAGAAGTCCTAACATAGAACCTGAAAGAAAGGAGTAAATAGAAAGGCCAAAGAATGCATGGTGAAGATGCCCCCAAAAGGGATACCGAGCAACTGTGATACACCTTGCATGAGACCGAATGGCTCAAGACAGAGGCTTTCGGAGGGCCCTTGTTGACAGCCGGTACCCCAGGAGGCATAAATAAATAAGCTTCTCACCATTTTCTCAAAAACCTGTTGAGCAATCAAACCTGAGTCTACTGCAGGAAAAAGTACCAGCACTATGGAAGACAAAGAAAGCCACCTCTTCTGGCCTTAATGACTTCAGACCAGTTGCTTTGAAGTCACATGTCATGAAGGTGCTGGGGAGACTGTTTATTGCTTGACCTAGCTTGCAAATGAAGTCTTCAGTTTGCCTGCCAGTCTCTTGTGGGGGTAGGTGATACTGTTATATACCTGTTGCAGCATGCTCACTCTTCACCTGGAAGGTATTGGTGGCATTGTGAGAATCACGTTCTTCAATTTTTTTTCCAAGATCCTAAACAGATTTTTGCATTATACCTTAATACAATTAGGTGTTGTTATGTACTACTAGACTGTACATTTTTTCTCTTTATCATGTTGCTGTACCACATTTTTGCTTGTGGGATCAATAAGGATTCTAGCTATCTAGCTATCTATGAATTATACAACTAACAATGCAAGCTGGACAGGAAGCCAGGACTAAGAAACTAGGAAACTACAGGGAAAAAATCAGAACTTAGAAACAAAAAAGGAAAAAAAATTAAGATATAGGAACACACAGTATATAGTTATGAAGGAAAACACAACAAAGGACAAATGGAGACTGAGACACTAGATACATACATACAGGTAACAAGGGAAGAGGAAACAGGTGGGAGCTCAGCTGACACTAACTGCAGGGGACGAGACAATGGTAGTTAAACTGAAAACAGTGCACACAGTATGAGGGACTATTAAAATAATACAGAAAACTGAGACAGAGACTGAGCCATACAAACTTGATATAGACAAAAAAGAAAACAGACATGACTGACAGAGGAAACAGAAAACACATGACTGAATGAGAAAGTATGGTGAACTTAACAGATGAGAACAGGAGGACTAGACAAGGGAAATGGGAGACAGACAAGTATGGATGAGATTAAGACAAACACAGACTAAACATCAAAAGGTAAACACACACAAGACTGACTACACACATGAGACTACAGGACAAAACAGATGAGACAAGGACAGATACGGAAACATAAGGGAAGCAAGAATACAAGGGGACATAAGGAATAAACTGAAACCAGGAACAGACTGAATAAGAAACTAGATCTCTGCAAAATAATGAAACAAATCGATAAATGAAGAAAAAAAAGACAAAAAACACTATCCAAACACTGATACATGCAAACATTTGTTGCATCTCATACTCTGCAAAGACAGTTTGTATATATTCTGTTTTACTTAATATTTAATATTGTAATGTAATTTTTGGTCTTCAGGTCTGTATTTCAGATGGAATCCAGACATGATCACTGTTCCCGTTTGATTGAAATATGCTTTCTATGTTCTGTCATGGATAAAATATGGGTTTATGAGATTTACAGATCATTGTATTGTGTTTTTATTTACATTCCACACAGCCTGAACTACCTTTTTGGAATGGGGATTGTAAAGTGATACGCACAATACTCAAAAAGCAACTATGATTCAGTAATATTATGGATATGATTCTGTAGAACTTTTATTTTAGGTATTTGGAGTACAATTTGATGCAAAACCTTTGTACTATTTGGGTATTTAAACAGAACCATAATTTAAATCTTAACAACTCTAAATACATGTTTATCCCTTCCTAAAACAGGTATTCAGTGCAAAATGAGGTTTAAACTTTTGTGCATACATTTTTCAGGAGATACATCTGCATGGCAGTACGGAGCCTGAAAATTATCCTGTGTTATCCGTTTATGCAATTAGAGTAAAAACCTCGAACCTATGAACACACCGTTTTCCTGCTCGTGAAGACTCCACTCGCTGTCTTCCCTCTTGTCAGCGCGCATCTGCGTCTGTGTGTTCTGCTCCATTTCAGGGAGGAGCGCAAACTGTTTGGCTCTGTCCAGCGCCGGCTCTTCTCCGCGTGTAAATGCGCACTGTCTCACTCACCGGACACTGGAGAGAGACCGGGCGGCATTAATACCGGCGAACTGTCAGCCGGCTGCTCAGTTCATTGGGTGTTGACAGTCGGGGAAATTTAAGGAGGAAATAGTTTGTTGTAATCTGTTTTTTCTACTTTTCTACATGCACTTTTCAAAGCGAGCATAGATGTCATCGCACAGCATGCTTATCTCTGGAAGCTCCCGATTGAAATGGACGGACGCATTTCTTTACTTGGGTCTGTTCATGCAGTCGGCGGTTTGGGAAACGGTGAGTCCAAACGCACAGCTTAACCTCATCTATCTTATCAGAAGGAGAGTTGGAACATGAAGTAATGTGTCTGTGTGGGTGATTTTAACACGATTCTAGTCACATTGTTTTTATACTGACATGACTTAAAATATTTTAAAATTATTTTTTAATCAAATAAGATCAATTCTTTTACTTTTTTTTTTTTTTTATTAACTTTTACTTTTATTCACTTTGTACATTTATGAATTCATTCATTGTAGTGGGACTGTACATTGGGTTTACATGTTATCATGAGCCTTTGTTTGAGGATTGAGGAAAGGGAATTAGGGATCCTTGCCCCTTTAAATTAGAAGTTACAGACTAACATACATTTTGTGTGTGTAAAGCTTAGAATACAAATACAAGATGAACAATAAAATACACAAAAACGATAGTAACTGTACAATCTATATTTGTGACATTTTAAGATTCTCTTGTTCAGCTTCAGTCTGGGAGTTTAAAAGAAACATAACACATTTTAGTTTTATTATTATAGGCAGGCAGGATTGATAAGGTTTGCTGCCTAATGCTTTTTATTATTAGCAATTAGCCATTAGTCAGTACCTCAATGAAAACAGATGGCTGATATATCTATTGAGTAAGTGCTAATAGTTAAATAGTTCATTGCTGTTGAAATGGGAGCTTTACTGGCCTCTCAAAATTCTTTAAAGTGTTGTGAACATCAAGTAATGCAGCTGCTGGTGAGACGCGTTTGTCTGCGTTTATGATGCATTATTGGAAAAAAGGTGCTGTGTGAATATTTGTATCAGCTGGAGGAGGCGAAGACAGCACTATTGGCAAATAGGTGCTTAATATGATTTAAACACCTATTTAAACACCTAATATCAATATTGTTTAATATCTGTGTGTCAGTTTGTTGTGTGTGTATCATACTTGACTTAAATTTTTCCCCCATTGTGTATCAAAGTAAATAATCTTCAGATGTTGATTTCCAGAGCTGTCATATTCTGCCATGTAAAGAGAACGCAAAAAGAAGTTACATGTACAATCAGTACAAAAAGTACAAAAAGGCATGCACTGTCAAAACAAACAAACCAACCCCCCCCCAAAAAAAAACAAAAAAACGCCAAACCTTTGAGCAACAGATTTCCATCAACCTTAACCTCCTAAGACCCAAACTTTTCCATGGCATGCATTTTTAATTTCTCTTTGATATTTAGGCTGATTGGGACCTTATGAATGTAAAAACAAAGAATCACCAGATTTTTTTTTTACCTGATTTTTGTTTCTAAGAAAAATGAAAGTCACATATGAAGACATTCATTTTAAATTTTGATAAAACAGAGGCAGTGTAATGTCCTCGTAAGTGGATATCAGGCCCTTGTGGAGCTAAATTTAGTATTTTGTTCGAGACAACCCAAAATGTGATGTACACATATGTGGACGCCGGGTCCTAGGAGGTTAAGACTCTTAATTGCAGTGGTATAGAAGAACCAGATGATACCTCTGCATTCTTTTCCATCTTCTTGCTACACCATCATATACGTTAACTCTCCCCAAATGTTACCTGAGCAGATTCCTCCATATTTTGTTGTAAACAAATTCCTTTTACATTAGATGGACTTTTGTGCAAATGGTGAGTTATACATGACGCTGGCATTTTTGTAAAGAGCTAAACTATTAATGTAATAGAAACATCATTTAAATTGTAAAATATATATTTTTTTAATCAAACTCTGCACTGTATACATTTGCATCAATATTCTAACATCTAAATTTTTTTTGTCATAAATAAAAAGAAAAGCATATTTTAAACAATTTTATAAATTAAATTGTTATAATAATTTTCTGCTTCCAACGTAATCATGATCTTATGTAAAAAATCACTAATATCTGCACGAGTGTTTCTAAAAATTTAAGGTGGAAACATTGCATCCATCATAATCACAGAACGTGTAGATTAGGAGTTGTTTTCTGATATTGACCTGCTGCGTTCATGTTTGTCTGGCACATCTGATTCGAACTAGGATGATAATTACTTGCTAGATGACTAATTTGTCTCCAGTGGTGTCAAATCGCCACGAATCATGTGACTTAAGAACCAATACATGCATGTATTGCATGTCTGTCTGACTTTTGTTTTTCTGCTTTGCTTTTTCTTTCCTTTATAACGAAAAAGTAGAATTTGAGATGTACCTCAGCCATCAAGAGGAGGACTGGATTTCAAAGAACAAACTCATATAGCTCAAATAAATATTGAATAAATAGTATCTCCTGTGACTCCATTAACCCTCATTGCTCACTTGAGTCTTCTCTGCTTTTGGCTTCAAAAAGTTTTTTCAGTAATGAGAACGTAGAAATATTTTCTCCCTTTTCCCCCATTTCTACTATGCATGTGGGGTTTGAAATTCAAATGGCGTAAACAATTTAGTGTGAACCACATTTCTTTTGCATTTTGTCCTTATATGAACTTTGATTCAAAATCATTGTGTAGTTTCTTCTTTTGGGGTTATGGAGTGATTTGTGTCTTTTCCCTGATCCTAAATGCTCATAATAATCCTGTGTTGCCTCTTCATTTATTAGCTCTTTGCTCCAGATGAAAAGATCAGATTGTCATGGACTCAAGATGCCTTTAACCCCCTTTTCCTTATATTATATATCATTTTATAGATGGCAGCAAGATCAGTATCTCTTGTGAGTTACTAATCAGCTGGAAAACTTTATTCAACAGAAAATCACTGCCTTTTATTACTTTATTGCTTATGTTTTCAGTGTAAGGTACAGTAACAGTCTTTACTTAAAACACTGGGTTTTTCATATTTCTCTTTCAAAATCACTGCCATCCATATCTGACACAAAGGCTTTTGTCGAAAAACATTTGACCACATGGAAACACTTGATCTTGATTTAGTCTGCAAACATGAGATGGCGCCTGCAGCCTATTGAGATTATATAGGTAGTCGAGCGCCTTCCAGGCCTGCACATTTGTAAGTGCAGTCACAAGAATGTATTCTGTGTCTCCCAGTACAATCTCAAGTGTGTGGGGGAAATATCGGAAAACTGGTCATAACACTAGGGGAGCTGGACAGGGCTGTAGAAGGGCATCAGTCAAGCAGCAGAATTGTACCAGGAAAAACAGGAGGAGCATTGCCACTTGCACTGACCTACAAAAACTCCAGTAGGCTACGTGTGCATGTTTCTGACCAGACAGAAACAGACTCAGAGAGGTTGCCGTGAGGTCCTGAGGAGGCATGTCTTTGAAGGACATAAACCTCCATAAGCTAGCCAATAAATACTCTAAATGCTGTTAGGTATGGAGATATAATGCTCAGACCCATTGTCAGAACTTGTACTGTTGCAGCTGTCACTGGATTCCAAACACTGTCTATACACATTACTGAGCCATATGATGCAATTAAAAAATGAAAAGAAAAATTAATAACATAAAATAAAAAAAAAATCCAGAGAAAATTGTAACTTGTACATTAACAAGTTGAGTGCACTCAAGCACAAGTCTAAATGGTTTTAGCATCATGCAAGGTGTTACCATGAACCATAACCAGACATATGCACCAGGCAATAGCTTTTAGGTGAAGAGGTGTTCTGGTGTCCAATATTGATTCTTCTGTCATCCAGCAAGTCTGTCTCTATAACAGATGAAAATTTTAGTCAGAGATTTTTATGAGAATGCTGAGTGAACCAAAATGGGAATAATATGGACTAAAAAGTAAATCATAAAGATATCCCAGTGCTGAATAAGATGATTGTTCCTAGTTTGTTTGATAATAGGAGGCACACATACAGTACAGTACAGTACAGTACAGCTTTGAAATGTTAGTTTTTGATCTCCATGAAGTTGTTTTTCAATACTACATTCCCATTTAAAGTGCATGTGCACACCAGTGAGACCACAGACATCCCTGCTAATAGCTTTACACGGTTCCTCTGATCTACAAGCACTACATAACAAGGAAGGGAGTTATACAACCACAGCTGTCTTCTTCTTCCCTGCTGTGGGTAAAAACATGAACGTAGATAATGAATGTTTAAAATTACCAAGAAAATTCAACACTGCATTTAACTGATGGAGAAGAAAGCTGCTATATTAGAATGATATGTATCAGCTAAGTTCATAAAGGTGGGTTCAATAAATTCTTTGGTTATTTAATATAAAAAAAAGTAGTGCTGTCAGCATTAATCTTGTTAAAATGACGTTAATGCCATAACCACATTAACGCGGCAAATCTCCGTTAGCGAGTTAGCATGGATTGCCCTGTGCTTGGGGCTGCACGGCGTTAACGAGCTAACTGCACTAACGCATTGATGCTGTGCAGCCCCATGCATGGGTCAATCCGCACTAACTCGCTAACAGAGATTTGCCGTGTTAATGCGGTTATGGCATTAATCTCATTTTAATGAGACTGACAGCACTAAAAAAAAGTATACTGTGTTCATAAATATGCATAGATTACTGTGTAATTATGTCTGTTATATCAAGAAATTGATGCACTCTGACAAACTTATTGTCAATCCATTAAAAAAACATAGGAGCAGGTTTTTGGTTTGTGGAAGCCGCCATGTTCCGCCACCACATTTAATATTTACAGTGGTCAGCAAGGACATTTTTCTTCAGATGAATTCTGCATTTTTTGGATGTGGCTAGAGACTGGCCACATACAAACACTAAAGACCAAGGAGAGGAGAAGTGATGTTTGCATGCCATGGAGGGAGATTTCAATTCAATTTTTTTTCTATTTGAAAAATACAAATAGAGCTACCTTTAATATCCTAATAGCAGGTCTTGAGTAACAACTTGTAGTTGTAGATTGTAACGTTCCTATCGCCTGCAGAAGCCTCTCCCATTAGACATCAAATAACCTGTTACCCTCTGTCTCCAGCCCAAGGCAAGTTCTACCTTAAAAAAAACAAGCTGTAAAATGCTAAAATCAATTCTAAAGGCCACATGTAACCAGTGCAGAGAGGCCAACATGAGGAAATGTGCCATCATCCTGTTAGTG